AAGGAACAAGAGAGAGCATTTCCAAGCAAACTCTCTAGCAAACTCCCCCTCGCTCTGGACTCTAGTTAAACAAGGGGCTTAAGTCTTGGTCTAGCTGATGAGTTCTAGCTGCTAAAATAAAACAATGTAGATTAGTCCTAATTACATATAAACACAGAATCTTAACTTTTAGGCTGCCCTTTAAGAGAGGGGCAGCAAACTAACCTGCAGACTAATTAGCAAACTGCTTGGAAACTGTCCTGTTTGCTTCTCCTTGTTCTCCCTGGTCACAAGGAACCTCCAACCATTTAGCTCAGCAGTTGGCAACATTTCAGACCTGTGAACTGGAGCAATCTGGCATGGGCCCAAGGAAGGGTCAGTGTTTCAGCCCAGCTGCCACCATCACTTTTCCCTGCTGACACTTCTTACCACCCCCAGCAGCTTTGGGGCAGCTACTTGCCACCTGGCTTCAGTGCAGATGTGGACTGCTCCACAAGCCAGATCCAGCTCCACAAGCTGGACAAACTCCCCAGCTCACAAGCCAGCTCCAGTGGCTCAGCAGGCCAGATATTGCTGACTCCTAATATAACCCTAATGTACATTAAACCTCCACCTACACACAGGACTCAGCTCACTGGAAATAACACTCCAGTGTAGTGTTATTTGTTACAACCCAAATGTCTTTAGTTCTTCTGGTAAAGTATCTGTTTTTGGCGCATACATGTCAACAGCTGTATTCATTTTAAATAGGGGTGAGGCACCACTGTTTAACTGCTGACAGACAACATAGACATTGGCTGCCCATTCTTTCCCATAAGAAAATGGGTAGCCTTGTTTTACAAGAGCTTTAGCAAGAAGCTTAATTAGGAGCTCTTACAGGTAGAGAAAATTATGACTCAGGAAACACCTATGCCTTAGGACAACTACAAATGCATTTTGTGAGCAACAACGCTACTGTTATAACAGCAAGCATATAACAAGATAGCAAAAAGGGATTGCTGCGGATGAGCAGCCTACAGCCTTTCTCAGTTGTATAACTTCCTGCCAGCTGCAGAATTAACTTCCTGAAAAGTCTCAGAGAAAATGGGTCCCTGCTCTACCTCACAGAAATACGGAGCCATTGCTCTGCTCATTCTGGTAAGTGATGGGCAGGAGGAGGAAACAGCTGACTCTAATCACCCAGTTTTTATTATTGTGGATGCATTTAACGTATTGTCACAGATGTGATAAAACGTAGAATACAGATAAAGAAAGCTGTTTCCCCAACAGCTTTTAATCCAAAAATATGACTACACAGAGGTAGAATGGGGGGGGGAGGGGGTGCCTGAGGAAACATACACCAGGGTATAGATGCCCTCAAGTATTAGATGCCAGGAGCACTCGCCACCAATTTAAAAAAAAAAAAAAAAAACTGGGTGTGGAGAGGGCATCCCCAAATGCTAAGAGCTACAACCCTTACTTTCTTCCCCAGCTGACTCAGTCTGACAACTTTTTCCCTGCTATGAGGCAGCCTGTTCCTCCCCCAGCACAAACTGAGAAAAGTTCTTAAATACCCTCTCAGCACCACCAGCCTCAGACACAAGCCAATTGCTACAATCCAGTCACAGAGTATCAATGCCAAGTTCTGCCACAAAGTAAAATAACTGGAAAATATTAAAAAAGCGGGGTTGTGTTTAACTTTTAATAAATGATTAACCTAATAGGCACATTATTGATTCTGGTTTTCATTTTGATAATTAATTCAACCAGAATTTCTTTTGGACTATTTCCTAATAATGTTTACCCTGTTACAGAAAATATAAGGCACCCTGGGATATTTAGCATTTTTAGGAAGACCTCAGTTGCAGGATGACACAGTAAAAAGAGAGTCCGGATTTACTTTAGAGCCAATATATTTTTGAGAGGGCAGGTGTTGCAGTAGAGTTGTGAGAGAGATTACCAATATTGACCTTTTCATAAAGAGCTAGGTTATCAGTACTGCAGCAGTGAGCTAGATTCATCTGAAATTCAAACACAGAGCTGCTTCATTCATATACAGTAAACTGCTCCCTGTGATGAATTGTGATGAATGTTCTACAAAGGCAGGGTAGAGGAATTACTCGGGAGCCTCTTCCCCTTTTTGTTGTCAGTAGGAAGCTCAAAAGTGGAATTGTTCAAAAAAGTTACTATGTGAGAGAGGATTTTCTCTTGAATGGACTGCAAGTTTAAGAAACGCCGTTGTGAAGCCTGTTAGGATGATCTGTGTAGCAATGTTACAGAAGAGAACCCAAAGGGAGCGCAGTCATGGCAGTTCACAACAATTGTTCCTCTTAGGCCACCTCTACCTAACTTGGGCTGTGCTTGTGTTCTAGTGCACTTACTGTTCAGGGTTTGGCATTTCTATTTCAAACCATGATACAATTTAAAACACCATTCATTAACATGGTCGTACTTTTTCTTCTTCAGTCAATATGGTCATTTTTGATTTGGCAATCAGCAAAAACACTGGTTGAGGCTCTAGATGATTTATTGCCAATTTCTGTTTCCAGAATGACTTCATTTTGAAAAACAGATTGCCAGCTGTTTGTTCTTCAAGTAAGACTGATTGTGTTTGGTACAGCATTTAGAAAAGGATGTTTGCACAAATTAATTCACAGGAAAAATGCAGTATCGTAAGAGAGAGAGTGAATGTGTTAGCTGTGTAAAATGATTCTTACCATATAAAAGACAGTACTAACCACATTATTTTATTACCCAGTCCTTTACAGAATGTTTTTATTACCATACAAAGCTGAATTGGAAGGAATGGCATAGTCACATTATTGATTTGAGTGAGACTTTGTATGGTAAAAAGTAAGAGAAACAACAAATCTCCTGAATAGTAACAAGTATAATGATGAATCATGGTGGCTAGAGTGGAACTATTCACTCTGAATTTCCCTGCTTTGTGAGATTCAGATAAACTCTAAAGGCTAGATACAGTAAAGGATTTAAGTTGTGTCTGCACTGCAGACTTACTGGCTAAGTACAGACATTCAAAAAGCCTGACCCTGAATTGATTCAATCTTTGCAGGCTAGTCTAACCTGCGTAGATTGAACCAAAGTGCAAGTGAATAGACATTCACATTTGAGTCCAGAAATGCAGGCACATGCCTGCAGTGGATCAGGCTAGAGGCCAGGGGGTGCTAGAGCAAGCCCTTGGCTGCAGGGAAGCTGCACTGAGAGGGGGAGTGTTCAGGCCCCAGCAGGCCTGAGTTTGATCAGGGAGGGATTTAAACCCCCACCTGGGCCTGCAGGAACCCCAGCTGGGGTGTGCCTGGAGGGGAAGGAGGAAAACAGCCCCTGCCAAGCATTTCCCACCCCCCCTTACTGCACGAGCAGCAGGGAGCATCACCAGCCCCAGCAGTAGCATGAAGCAGAGGTAGAGGGGTTTAATTCCCCCTCTGTCCCCTGTCCCACTGGCACGGACCCGAGCAGGGGTCTGCCAGGCCGAGGTGGAGCAGCCCATGTCAGGGTTGTCATATGTGTGTGTGTGTCCGTCATCGTGTGCCTCCCCCCCAACACCCCCCCTGCTGCAGGGGCATGACCACCAGGTACCAGCCCAGCATGGCCTGCTGACACAAAGGGGGAAGAGAGGGGGTTTATTTTCACCTCCCTCACCTCTCCCCTTGAGATTCCAGCTGGGGTATGCCTGTCTGGGGCAGAGCAGCCCACGTCAGACATCCCCCACCCCACCACTGCTGGAGTAGCAGGGGGTGCATGGCCAGGCAGTAGCCTCAAGTGAATGGGGGAGGGAGGGGATTTAATTCCCCCCTCCCTGCCCTGTCCCACCAGCACAGACCTGAGCTAGGATCTACCTGACCAGAGTGGAGCAGCCCAGGTCAGGGTCGCTCCCCACTCGCAGCTGCAGCAGTGGAGGTAGGGGCATGGCGAGAGGCCAGCCGACATGGCCCCCTGAGGCAAAAGGGGCAGGGAGGGGGGTTTATTCCTCCCTTGCTCTGCCCTGGTCAGACAGGCCCTGGCTTGGGTCCATGCTGGTGGGATGGGGACAGAGCAGGGAATTAAAAGCCACTCCGTCTCCATTCACTTCATGCTGCTGCCAGGGCTGGCCATATCCCCTGCTGCTTGAGCAGCGAGCAGAGCAAAATGTCTGATGGGCTGCTGCACCCCTGCCTGGCAGACCCTGGCTGGGGTCCAAGCTGGTGGGACGAGGGAGGAATAAACTGCTTCCCTGCTCCCTTCGCCTTAGGGGGCCGTCGCTTGGCCACACCCCCTCCCCTGCTCCAGCTAGAAAGCAGAAGGTCAGGTAGTAGCCTAGTTGTTGCAGCACTGGCCCTCTGAGTTGGAAATAAGAATTCATTATTCTCTTCATCCTCCTCATTAGAAGGATTCTAACCCACATCTTCCACCTCCCGGGGGCATGCTCTAATCACCAAGATACGCCAGGTACCTTTCTCCTGTCATTGTTGAAGCTATTACTGGGCAGAGTGGAAAACAAGATTTGTGGAATGAGAGAGAGTCAGAGGAGTGCAAGACTCTATAACCTCGTTGTGAGGGCACTGGATTGTGGAGGGAGTCTGTGTCTAGTCTCTGCTCCCTTGACTGTTCCTATATTTCTGTTCAGCTGTCATCAGATGAAACACATAAACAGTCCCTGCAGCCCTGACTCAGCCATCTACATTCTGGACAGAGGCAGGATTTCAGACATACTTATGTTTAGTCCTTCTTCCTGGCTACTTCTAGGCAGCTGCTTTGCTCCAAATGCAGATGTTGGATCCCATTCTGAAGCACCTATTTTTTTGCATGTACTGTATCAGAAACCTCAGTGTCTGACTCGGGGTTCTGGGTTGCACTCCAGGGAATCGGAGATCAAAGAGTTGGATATTAAGTGCCTAAAGCCTTCATTGAATCTACCCCTATACCATTATTGTATTCTTGTTCTATTTTCATGCTGTTGTATTGCTAACCAAGGTTGGAGTTTTGGTATCATTTCATAATTGTTTTAAAGGTGCACAAAGATTCATTGTTTTTAAATTCTACAGGTACACTCCATGTGGGCGATGAAATCCGAGAAATAAATGGAATCAGTGTGGCAAATCAGACAGTGGAACAATTGCAAAAAATGCTTGTAAGTGCATGAGAGCTTGTTGGCATTGACACACACATACACAACTGAATTGTTTTATCTTACAGCAAAACTTACATAATTGCTCAGTGGCACGTCCTTTGCCCTTCCATTCTTGGTAGCTTGCTTTATCCCACAAGACAACTACTGCCTCTGCCCAAGAAAAAAAAAACACCTGACCAGTTCAGCAATGCTAAGACATGCCACAGGTGATTCTTTGTTTCCTTCTGCAATGTCTTTCATGCATGTAACCCCCTCTTTGAGCTAGCCCATACGATGAGTGCTCTCTTCTCCTTAAAATTCTTGTCATTTCTGTTTCTATGACACCTACTAGTATTCATCCAATAAAGAAGCTATGGGACATGATTGAGAAGACCTTGACATATCTCTATACTTGCCTATTAATGTAATTATAATCCATTTTAATCCAAAGGAAAGAGTATCTTAGAAGATTCCTCACCACTGTCTTGCCATGCACTGTTGGCACATAGCATAAGACTATGAGCTGCCTCTGCTTATGCAGCTTTCAGTCCATTAGCTATTCTTGTACAGAGACGGGAGAACCCAGCACATTCATATTTGGGTGGTTCACAGTCTGCTAGATTCACGTAAGGATGCCAAATATAAGCTCTGAGTTGTTAGTTGTAGCTTTTACTTCAAAGGACAGTGCTTCTCTCATCAGCTGGAGCTCATCTGTGGCCCTGCCCTGCTGGTTGTTGCCAGTATATATGACATCCAGCTAGTTCACAAACGTCTTTGAGAAGGCTACAAAACCTAACACTGTCCAGGTTGTAATGAGTCTATTACAGTTAAGTGTAATAAAGTTCTGAACCGGAAGACGATTATTTCAAAACCAATATACTGTGTAAGTACTACACTATAAAAGCATAGAATGTGATTGCCTTTTGTAGTGATGTTTGGCTTTGTAGCTACAAATGTTGCTAATGGTCATAAAACTATTCATTTTTTAAAAATCCAGGTCCTGTATTCTACTCCAAGATTTATTTCAGCAGTGAAACTCACAAGTTTTCTTCTAGCTAGTGCAAAATAGCAACTTTATATTTGTTTTAAATATATTGCCCTTTGATTTCACCAGCTGTCCCTTTGGTCTTATACTATGGAACAAAGTAAAGAAAAGGCTTTGATAAATTCTCATTGTGTGCTTCACACTTTTCAGTATTTCATTCATTTTGTTTCCTATTAAGGAGCTCTTTCATATTTTTTTTACCTGCAAAAGTGTGGAGCACATCTTTTACACTCATTGTGACTGTTCTATCAGGATTCAACATGTAAATTGGCTGAAAGGAAAATATACTTTCTTTTTGTAACAATGACAATGTAAATGACAAGAAAATTGCTAGGTGGGGGTAATGGAACTGGAAGAAATTTACAGATCTGTATACAACTCTCATCTACAGGTGCAGCTGTAATCTCTACACAGCTGAAGACCAGTCATGCTAGTTAACTAATGGTGTATGTTTGGTTTTATGTTAATGAGGAACAGACTGAATGTGTTGGTTGCTAAGTGAAGCCACATGCTTGTCACAGCTTTCTGGTTTATTTCTAAATGTTTATTTTATGGAGAACTGCTGCACTTTTGGACAGGCTCTGATGATTTCCTTTCAAAGATCAGAGTGATTTTGTGTGTTTTATCTTTTCTGTTTTGTTTCTTAACGAAGTACTTCTCTCTTTGCAGAGGGAAATGCGGGGAAGTATCACCTTCAAGATTGTGCCAAGTTACCGCACTCAGTCTTCATCCTGTGAGGTAATGAGTTTAATGAACCATCCCCATCCTCTCTCAGTCCTGTAACTAACTAACTGCCTGCTGATGGCTGAATGTTACTGCTTTCTGGGAAATTGTTTCTGCCTGTGCTGTTAGATCACGCACACCAATTTTACAACAAAGATAACGGAACACGAGTAGGTCCCACCTTCAGCCCTACCTTCATACTCATCTCATCAGCACCTTAACTAACCCTTTGCAGCCTATGATATGAAAAGAAAAGGGAAAGCCCTTAAGAGTCTCTCTTCAAATACAATGAAAGTAGGGAATCCCTTATTTTAAAATTTACCGTCTAAAATAATTTCTCCAAGGAAGTCCATTTGAATTCCTAAGTTCAATTCTTTTTTAACAACCCTAAGGCTGTTAAGGGTTAATTGGAGATCTTGTTTCTGTATAATCCTTTTCAGGTAAATTTGTGATGATTGTCTGTGACAGTTACACGTGGCTAAATATTATGTTTTTATACAGAAAATACAATTTATAAATATTAAAGGAAAACAGGTTTGGAGTTCAGTGCCTGTGGAATTAGCAACTTGATGTTATGGATTTGCCTAGTACTTTTTGGTCTTTATCTTTTTCTTCCTCATAAAGCCTCTCTCTGTGATATGATTGAAAGGAATTAAAATCCTGAAAATGGCTATTAAGGAAAGATTCTATTCCTATTCGGGCATACAGATTGGCACAAGCACTACATAAGCAATGCCATTCTTACCATGCGGCATGCTATTGCTTAACTATAGACACAGTTCCCAAATGTGGACTCGGGACTCAATGAAGAACTAATTCCTCCTTGAGGAACTCCTGTTGTCTTTATTAGATCTGGAATTTCACCCTATAATTGTTTGTTGTCTATACATGCTTATTCTAGATCTCCAACGTAGAGAAATTAAACTTCTGCTTGTTAAACACAGTTGCTCTTCTCATTTGAAGAAAGAAATTACATTGCTTTTCAGTTATCCTCTGTACTTTTAAGAGAAGTCATTTAAAAACTAAAAGACTTTCAAGACCAGAAGTTCCACTACCTCTCGCCATGAAAACTGCTTTTTACTTTTCAGTTGCATCAGTTTTGGACCAGGAAGAAAAGTTTAAATAAAGTTGCTGATGAAGTACAAAAGCTTTTCATAATACTAAATGAGAGAGAAGTTACAGATATTAAGGACTGTGTGTCACTTTTTGTGTTATAGCTAGTAGTAGAGTAGTAATGGAAGGTATTTTGCTTCCCAACATTGTGTGTGTGTATACACAAACACACACACAAAAACTTAAGCTAAAACAAACTTGCAAATCCAAATTCAGGTCCTAAAATATGTGGACAGAAAGAGATGCTACCTGCACCAACTAGTAATAGTTCATCTCTTTTTCGTAATCTTCTGATCTGGGTTCTTTCGAGCCAGCTGTTTCTACAGGAGAAAAAAGACTATGGAATCTTGGCTTCAACTGGATGTTCAGAACATGTAACCAAAACCTGATAAAAATTAAGCATATAAGTATCACGTGCCTGTCATATATGTTAAAAAAATTACATTTATCATAAACCTTTGCTATTCTTGGCTCTTCTGGGTTCGCCAACACATCCCCACTAGAATTTCTTCCAGAATCCCAAGTTTTACAGCAGCCACAAAGAACTATAAAAAATAGTACCTCTCTCCCTCCCTCAGCTCTTATTGCAGCTGTAGAACTTCTCTCTCAAAATTATGCAGGCTTGAGACTCAAATCGACTTAATGCAAAATAGCAATCATTCTATGGACCCTATGGGGCCCAATGGCTGTAGGTTGCTAACCTCTGTCTTATACAGTGGAAATGGCTTCCACGTTTACATTTATATTTATGTATTTAGCATATTATCAGTTAGTCAGCTTTTAAAAACTTAACCTCTAGTCAGGTCTGTGGAGGTCCTTGGCTTTCATGCTAATGGTGCCTCCCCTTTTATTAGCAGATCTTTCACAATATCTTCAAGGTGCCATGAACACAAACTGCTCAATTTGTTCAACCCTCTTAAAATGAAGTAGGGTTGTATTCTGAGTTCTATTCTTGGAAAGAAGAGTTCTGATTTTTCTTCAGTTTCTTCTTTTTTCTTCAAACTTCCTGTTTTTTCTTGGATTAAACCTTGCTAATGAATACTGCTTTTATAATTTCTTTTGCATAAACCACAATTCCTCATCTTCTGAAGGATGTGCCATCCAGTTATTTAAGGTAGCATACCTTAAATTGAGTTTGAGCCCAGCCAAAAGCCCCAATAGTGCAGTCCTTAAAAATACCGTTTCTCCAGCATTAGTTAGCCAGGAAATTGCTCACTTCTGCATGGATTTAGACCCTAACTACAAAGAATACTGCAAGATTCTTCCAAGTACTGATTGTAAATACCATGCAGAAATTCTTGTTGGTACAGTATGTAGTACACCGTCCAAATTTGGTCAGAATTAAAGCATCTATTTGCCAGGCATTGTACTGGCTCCCCTGTGTAATTCATCATTTATTGCAATGTCCTGATACAAGTCTTAAACCCTATAATGTGTTAGGACCTCTTTATACTTCTCTCATATCCCCATAAGAAATTAAGCTCACGGGGTGAGATACTGACTGGGAGATAATCAAAGGATTTTTGAAGAAATTCTGGCTATGGGACTCAAAAGATGAGTCCATTTTCAGAACACAGTATACGACATGTATTCAGGTGAGCCTTCACAACAAAAATTTCTTGTTTGCCTGAAAATGAACCATCCAAAAAAGATTCTTTAGAAATGCAGCAACTTGGGAAAGGCCTAGAACAGGATACATATCTAAATAATAATAATAGTGGTGACGATAACAACAAACAAACAATAATAAATACAGTCAGACAACAATGAGGATTCTTTTGCTATTTGTATTTGACACTTCCACTAGACTGCCTTTATGGACTTCGTAAAAATTCATAAATATAAATGTAAATATGGAACCATTTCCACTGTACATGCCAGAGGTTAGCAACTATAGCCATTGGGCCCCATACAGCCCCTGGAATGATTTTATCCTGTCTGCAAAGGGGGGATATCAGTAACAATTTGGAAGCTTGGAAATTTTGCACGTACAACAGCAGCCAGGTTGGAAGTGCTGACCTGCCACAAACAAGCAGCATTATTCTGACCCACTGCTTCTACAGGGTTGCCAACTCCTGGTATTTACTTTTGAAGTAACACACAAGCCAGGCATTCTTGCCTCCCATTGATACTAGCACTAGCGGCATGTTTTAGGATTTCAGATGTACAAGAATGCTAAGAGGAAGTATATTTTTGCAGAGAATCATCTGTGTAAACACTGACTTAAATTTTTGAGCCAGGCCCTACGAGACGCATGAATCGTTATGAAAAAGGCTCATAGATTTGATATTTTAAAGTAGTCATAGTCTTCAGTAGACTTGGGAACAGTAGTCTGGAAGTTTCCATTTGATGGCATATCAAGTATGAGACTGTTAGCATTACTGGAGTCCTTCTTTTACAGTTACAGAAAAAGTACTCAAGATTTATCAGTGAAAACATATTTCTTTGCCCAAAATTAGAATTGAAGTGTATTTGTACGTTATTATCGTCTCGCTGTGAGGAACACTGTGGGAGTTAATTTTTTGCAGGATATTCTGGGATTTATATCTTTGCAGATTTGAAAACAGTAACTTAACCCGATTGCTCTTGCCAGGGTCTGAGTAGACAAAGGCAGATCCATTAGTTCTCACTCCAAAAATGGTTTCACTTATTTTTTATTTATGCGCTAACACCTGGCTTGCTTCATTCAACACCTGTAAGTGACTTGGCTTGTCCCACCTGATCTGGCTATGATGACAAAGCTAAAAGCCCGCTTAGAATCTGCAGCTACGCTGTGCCTTTCTGATCTTTTTTGGTTTGGGAATGACATACGGTATCACTTTTTCCCTTTATCTCTTTAATCTTTTGTTTAGCTGGCCTGAGTTGGACAGGTTTGGAAATTGTAGGTATCCAGGTAATGCTGCATTAATGTTGGCAGCTGGAAGTGCCCAGTCCAACATGATATTATTACTGTCCTTGAACACCTGGTCCATCTTGTATCTACCTGCTCTGCCCCATGAAGACTGGCATTCTTGCATGCTTTACAAAAGATGTTATTTCTTTAAGCTAAACTTCAGGCAAGAGCTGAAGTTTTCTGTTCTAGTTCTAAGCAGTCCTGATACTCTAAGAATGAACCCCATTCTCTCTGCCACCTTTCACTAGACTATTGTACATTTTTGTTCTCTTTAGTTGGAGGTTTATTTTTTTTACTAGAAACCTTGTAGGCATCAAAAACCAGATAAATGCCTCCTGAACTGGACTTTTCAAAATCTCTGTAAGTTTAGTGTTGCCACAACACCTGTTAGCTTTTTCTCATGGCATTTCATCACTGTTTTGTGAAAATGGCAGTCAGGAGCTCTAAAACACCTCATACCAGCTCCTGTTTTTGTTTCTTCGGATTCCAGAGTTGGAGAGGAAGCTACATTTCAAAGAGGAGCCCAATCTACTCTGCGTTTGCCTTCAAAAATTTACTTGGGTTAGCGATCATATTCAGTCATTCACTGTTCAGCGAATCAAGTGTAGGGTCCATGAGATCACCAATGGCTTCTGCAGTGGTGACTAAAGTTTGCCATTATGAAGTTCAGAGCTAGATATGATTCTGAAGCTCTTTACAAGTAGTAGTTTGGTTCAGTGGAAGAGATCTCAGTGTTGTCAGTGTGCACACCTTTGTATTAGGGCTAGAAATCTTCCTTAGGAAGGAGAAGTGGTTGAGAGCCTGCAGATACAGGGTCTCCTCTGCCTCCAGTTGAACTTCTTTTTTTTTTCCAGCTTCTCCACATGGGCTGTCTCTGCTTCCAACATTTTCCAAAGTTTGCCCCTTGCAAAATCATCATCTGACCAGCAGACCAAGACAAACCAGATCATAAGTGCCAGGGCAAACCTCATTCTTTGCTTCTTCCAGGGTATCTGAGATATGAGCAGTCACGTCTGAGGGAAGGAACAATTCCCTTGTATAACTGGTATAGTCTGGTTCTAGGTTTAAAAAAACATCTGTTACAAATGGAAAAGATAATTGCAGCTTTTTAAAGGAAGTTTCTGTTGGCCCCCATGTGATCGCAAAGGGGCAGGGGATAACCTGGATATAAAAACATGAGAATCAATTCCTTTAAGAACAGATACTTCATATTACCAAAAAAAATGTTATTTGAACACACTTGGACAAATGAAGTTTGTGCTGGGGTATTTAAAAAAAAAAAAAAAAAGTGTTTCTGCCAATCTGTTAGTTACTACAAATACCTAACAAGGTCAAATGACTGTATTTAATCCAGATCTATCTAGATATGATTTTCCTCATTAATTCTATTTGAAAGACCAAAATCTTGAAGTGATGAGCCTTTTAAATCTGTGTCCAGTTTGGACCTCTATCTGGTCTGGAGCTCCTCTAGGTGGCTGTTCATGGAACTTCATTTTAAATCGTATCCAACAAGCCAGAAAAAAAAAGTTCAGAAGGATCTACTGAGTTTATTGAACATTGAATAGTAGCAACAGCCACAATAATAAAAATTGCCTGTCATACTGGCGTTGTAAGATAATTATGAATATTATTACATAACTAACTTGTTTAGGTTAATATATAGTTAATGGTGAAGTCTTATCTGATATATGTCATTGTATCAGAAGTTTAGGGTATGATTCTAGCTCCTAATAGTCTCATGAAAAACACTCGAATTTGATAAGATGTACCCAAAGGATTTCAGTAATTTTTTAAAAAATCTGTTTTACTTCCATATTTTCTGTCCTTGATGTTAAATGAAGCAAGCAATTGAACCTACCTAAAAGGATTTTAGACATTACTTTACAGTGCTATTGAGTTTCTGCATTTTATTTAATGTATAAACTATTTTTCTTTACTGAAAAAGTATCTTGTTAGCACTTGAGAGTTCTTCAGTCTCTCATTATTATACACTGTGTGCCCTAAACACTAAGAATAAAAGGAAGGGTCAGCACCTACCTTTCTGCCCCCACTTCCTTCCCTTGACTCTTCAAGACCCATTGTCACAAATCTCCAGCTTGTGCTCCTAAAGATGCACCAACAGGCACTTCATAGGGAGTCTCAAATACTAAGGAACTCCACTGGAGCTTAAAGCTATCCTGCAAGGTCAGGCAAGTGGTGGCATTTCTGTTACATAATGCAGTTTGACAAGTTCTATTCTTTTGCATCCAGTACCTAAAAAAAAAAAAAAAAAAAAAAAAAAAAAAAAAAAAAA